TACAAAATCTGCACCTAACTACCTCCACAATACACTAAAAATGTCCAAAACGGCTGGCTTGTCCTTTTTCATTTTTAATGAAGAACATAACTAGCCTAACCTCACGCATTCAGCGCATTTCCATAAATTCGCAGCCACTGTTATCAGGCTCATTCCGCAGACTGAGCAGTCAGCTACGGCACAAATTGAATGCCTACATTTCTGGTCATCATAATAGCTCATTTGTCATTTCGGTGCTGTGCTGATCATAATGATCATAGATCATAACAACCATCTGACTACTACGAGCATTCCTTCGAGTGAAAAGTAAGAAAGAGCGTCTTCAGCCCCACTGCGCTTGCGGAGCTAATGACCAGAGTTCACGGTCATCGCTTTCCAAGGGTTATTCCGTTGAGCAGAATGGTAAAACATAGGCGTCATCTGACGGCCTCCTTCAAAACTCAATACTGCGTCTACAAGAACTGGTTTGGGGCCATCAGTTCTTATAAACCAACTTGCTATAGACCCTCTTCCCGTCTTCCCGCTATACTGGTCAAACTCTATTAGCGCTAAAACTACGGATTTTGTTTCTGCATCATGGAGTCTCATGTGTGTTAATGTAGATGTGCTAATCATAATACCGTTTAACAGCGCTGAAATGCACACAACTATCGTTGTCTGCTATAAGGCTAAACTTGAGTTGTTTTGTGAGTGCTGATAAGCATGTTTTTCTAGCACAAACAACGAAAGCCTTGAAACTCAGGCGGATAACGAAAACATTATCGAAATTCCGTTGGAAGTGAAAGCGGATTTCATCGTCACCGGCGTGTCGAAGAATGAGACGTACGGATACCAACCTTCTGATTTCGTCGACCCAACAATTTTTGACTCTGACGCAGGTCCTACTGTTACGCATATATACGAGGTATATTTGAAATTATTATTAATCTTATGTATGTATATATTCATTATGTTATGTGTTATGTATTTTATAAAATGTATTCTGGTTTATTCATATTTATAATAATACAAATGAAAATTTAGTTTATACGAATCATTTAAACAACACGCACCATTGTTTTGAGTTCCGGGTATTACGAAATACT